CCACTGCTCATCAACCCTTCTCTCCAGATTGGTATCCTTGCACCCCTCTGCAGCTCCCCACCCCCCATCCACTGCTCATCAACCCTTCTCTCCAGATTGGTATCCTTGCACCCCTCTGGAGCTCCCCACCCCCCATCCACTGCTCATCAACCCTTCTCTCCAGATTGGTAACCTTGCACCCATATGCAGCTCCCCACACCCACTGCTCATCAACCCTTCTCTCCAGATTGGTAACCTTGCACCCATATGCAGCTCCCCACACCCACTGCTCATCAACCCTTCTCTCCAGATTGGTAACCTTGCACCCCTGTGCAGCTCCCCACCCCCATCCACTGCTCATCAACCCTTCCCTCCAGATTGGTATCCTTGCACCCCTCTGCAGCTCCCCACCCCCATCCACTGCTCATCAACCCTTCCCTCCAGATTGGTAACCTTGCACCCCTGTGCAGCTCCCCACCCTTCTGTTGCTGTTTCCATCTTCTGCCACAAACTACATCCTTGCAGCTCTCCTCTGCTCTATACCCATCACTTCTCCGCTTGTATTATTATTATTATACGGGATTTATAGAGCGCCAACAGTGTGCGCAGCGCTTTACAATATAAGGAAGCCATTACAATCACAATACAAATCAAGACAAGATGGTAAGGAGGGCCCTGCCCCTGAGGGCTTACAATCTAAAAGATCCCTGTTCACCTGCACCCCTCTGCTCCAACCCCCGTACCCCAACACAGCTCCTCACCCATCCACAGATATGAAGTATACAGTCCCGGAGATTCTTTTATATTTGATTTTTGATCTCTTTTACATTGTTACCATCTGATGAAGGGCTGACACATGGCGTCTATACAGAGAATACATATAACGTGAAGTGGGTATGTGATAGAGATACTTCACAGAGAAAGCGTTCTATTATAGAAGAGGAATGTCTTCTGCGGAAGAGATGATGTATAACATTATGGTTCTATATACCGTACTATAGAGATAGTGAGATGTATTCGGAGAGGGAAGGTTTTTACTGTAGACACTGAAACGGAGAGGACGCATCATTCTACAGAGGAACACTTGTTTTCTCTGCCTCTGATACAATGGAGAGGTATGAGGAGATTTCCACTCAGCCTCATAGTTCGAGCCGACGTGTGACAATGAAACTGTCACAGGCCTGCTCAATAGATCGGGAAGTGAGCGAACACATACCGTCGCTCGCTCACTTCTCGATCCTGTGCCTGCAGAGAGCAGTGACTGTCACTTACCTCTCCCCGCAGGGATTACCCCCTCCCCGCTCCGATCCTCCAGCGCTGACTGGCGGAAAGGAAGGGGG